GTGAATGCTGAACCAGCATCAAAGTATTATGACTCCTAAATCTACATTTCATCATGTGATGAACGATCCCATCTGTTTGCTTCAGCCAATCATATATCACAGTGGAGCTCAGACACTATTCAGCGACTCTCACAGCCGAGCTCACAATTTGCTGCCCGAGCAGAAAGCCGGCCGCCCGTCCTGTCGGTTGACTCAGATATTAGAACGTGTGCTGGAAACAGACTGAACACCTGCAACGGATTCTCTCCAACTTACTGTGGCAACAACGGGAGCTTTTGGGCCACGCCCTTCTGAAATAAACACCTGAAATACTAGGTGTCCAACTAAGGGCAAACATACACCAAATGCATGATTTAAGTGTTTTGAAATAAGGAGTCAAAAACTTTTGTTTGTATTTGATAGAAGTGCAAGGGACTCTAATGTGAAGTCAGCAAATTAAAGAACAAGACTACTGTTTTGTTGGTACAGTCCATGAAAAGACCAAAAATGTGTCACTCTCAATACAAACCCATACAAACAGGTGACAAATGAAAGGAAACCCCTGAATAAATGAGTCATCTCATCCAGGATGACAGTGCCCCCATCCATACGCATGGGGTCACCGAACGATTTGATGACCATGAAAATGATGTGAATCATTTGCTATGGCCTTGACAGATCTCAACCCAGTCAAACACCTATGGGTGATTTTGAAGTGACGGGTTAGCTGCCGACAGGATCTGACAGCGGCCGATGGCTGACTGTGGACTTGGTGTGTCGCAGGCCTGACACAGCGTCTCCACCACCACCATCAAAACACCAAACGAGGGAATATCTTTTGGAAGAATGCTGTTCATCCCTCCAGTAGAGTTCAGAGACATAGAGAGTCAATGCCAAGGTGCACTGAACCTGTTCTACGGAGATTTGTGCACACACCTGGACAGGCACACATGACAACACAGTCAAAGCGCCCATTAACTAGCAGTGATGATTGGACTGACTACAGACCTGGTTTTTGCTGGTCAGTGCTGCAGTCACTTTGTGCACCCTTATATTACCAACACATCCAAAATTTATCTGGACACACCTCGTTTTCATCTGGACACACCTGCCGGTGTGAAGTTGACAGACCGCTGCTTGGTAAAAGACAACATGATGCTCATGGCGTCAAAATAGTAATTGGTAGGAAACTAGGAAACAGACGCACCACTCGCTGTGCATTTGTTGCAAGATAGGGTCCATGATGTTGGTTTGTCCTTTCATTTGTCACTCATGTAGAACAAATTTAAAGTGACATGCAACAGATATAACCAAATACTAATAATGGTTTAGTTTTGCAGTAGTGCTCTACTGACTCATAGAAAAATCATGTCTCCAACACTCCAACTAACCAAAGCCTTTTGATTTCTCCACTTAGGTTGCACTGTTTGTTTTGCTCTGTTCACAGGGAACAACAGGTTTCACCAGGATCCAGAAGAAGAAGCAGATCCTTACATTAATTATGTCGTGTTTATCGTTTCGCTTGCTCCAGTGGGCTCGTCCACCCTCGGGGAAGGCGTGAAGGCAAACGGCATGGCGCCGATAGACTCTTCTACATCACAAAGTCTATTGTAAAACCAAATTCAAATCCCATCATATGCAAATAATGAGCTGTTTTTCCATGGTAACAGTGTCCAACAATGATTTTTGTCAAATCTAATTCATAATTCTAATCACAGCCTTGAACTCAAAGCCTGAGGCACAGCGTGAGTTCGGTGGTAATGACTACTGCAGGGGGCGAGGGGGCACATGGAAGAAGCCATTTACCATCTCACAATGCAGTGTTTTATATGTCAAAGTTAGTGCTGTTACACAAGAGTAGAACTGTGGATGCTGTGTATCCAACAAGGAATATCCAATAAATAAGCTTGTGTGATGTGTCGGTCGGTGTTGGGCTGTAATAATATTACTTTCCCCAGTAACGTGTAAAAAGATGCAAATAAAATTTCAGCAATACTATTTACACTTACTCCCTACTATACTACTTTAGTTGTCACAACAGAAAAGACTGATTTGAAATCAGACATTTAATATTGATAGTTGTCACGCGTGCACACGTCACTATTAGCAGCACCATAAACAGTAAGCTAGCTTGGAAGGTTGAGGTGTCTATGGAAAAATATCCCCATTAATTTGATTTTGTTGGAACGAAAGGTGATAAGAACATTATTGTACAATGTAAATGGTCCAGCTTCATTGACAAACACTGCAGGTTCTAGGAAAACTGAAAACAGCAACTAAAACTCAGCTGAGACACCACTTCTTGTCCTGTTTTCACTGGACTTATCAGACTGTGGAAAATCTTGTGAATGTACCTTTAAATGAATGTACCTTTAAAATTAAGATTTCTTTGAAACAGCATTTACATAATTATGCTACAGAAAATATAACTACAACAACTTAAATGTTGGTCCAGAAGTCAAGTCACAGATTTCTTATAGAAGTGGGGTTGCAATGGGAAAATCTGGACCCAGGATTTGAACACGAATACTTCTTCATGTGAGCAGAAGCTTGGAGAGACGAAACGCGGTGGCCTCTGTCAGAGACGTCATCTCTGCAAATGTTCACATGCTCCCACTGTTGTTCCTGCCAGGCGCCTTCCTCTCTGTCACCCACACAGACAGCAAAGTCGGCCTAACGCCGTGTGATCACTGGATTTGTTTCAGCACCTGCAGGTCCGCTGATTTGGCGCCGGTGTCCTACTTCTTGCCGGCAGGAGGCCAGCAAAAACAAAAAGGATATGTACTGAAGAATAACACAAAACACAACAAACCTCTTCTCTGATTTCAGCTAAATAAACTTAGCCTGAAACTTAATGAACGTTAAAACACCAATTATATCACTGTGTTAGCCGCCTTGTTGACTTTTAACTGACTGTTGA